TTGAGGAGCTAAGGGAATGAGAGCACTTCATTTGGAAAACGCTCTGGTTTCAGTAATGGAGGCGGACCCTGGACTTCCATGGAGCTTCAGAACAATATGTATTTGTCTGTGTGGCCCATTGCTATATTCCTGGTGTCTAAGCAGCACCAGTAGTAGTAAATAGTAGTAAATACTCCATAAATATTTGTTGAATGAATATATGAAACAACCGAATTGACACCTTCCTTTTAGGCTGAATAGATTGAGAAGAAAAAGGGAGAGAAAAGGTATGTTCTCTGTGGGAACAAAGGAGGGGAGATTTCTTTAAGGAGAGGGGAAAATTGATAATGGGAAAACATTTGTGTTAAATTTTGTAGGGTCCTAGCGAATTTGGGCCACCTTACATTGCTGGTAGCTGTTTTATTTGGTGCATATTGCACGATCCAGTCTAGGCAGTTGAGCATAATTTCAAAGAATAGGTGGTGACTTCTCTCCTTTCTGGATAGTGTGACTTTGGGATAAGTGTATTTATTTCAAAGGCTTTTGGGATAAAAATAAAAGGCATTCATAAACTATGTAAGGTGCAGCACTACTTATATTTTTGGTTCAAGGTGAATATAAAAGGAGACAACCTCAACATACTAGCAATAATAGGAAATGCACAAAAAGTAGGAAATGCTTGTTTAAATCTACCAGCTATGTTCCATTACTGAAGAGTGAAAGGTTTGAGCTTTTGAGAAGACTGATCATAGCTGTTGTTGTCCAATAGCTGAAAGGTCTCCTGTTAACCAGGAGAGTACACAGAGATTTCTTGGGACCTGAGCTATAAGGGAAGTTGTTACAGATGGTTCTGGAAAATGCAAAAATTAATCTAGACACAGAACTTATACCCTTCACAAAATTTAACTCAAAATGGGCCATATACTTAAATGTAAAATGCAAAACTATAAAACTAGGAGATAACAAAAGAAAATTTAGAGGCCTGTGGCTTTGGCAATGATTCTTTAAATGCAGCATCAAGAGCATGATCCATGAAAGAAAAAAATGATAAGCTGGATTTCATTAAAATTAAAATGTTCTGCTCTGTGAAAGACATTGTCAAGAGAAATAGGAGACAAGCCACAGACTGCAAAAACATATATGTAAAAGACATATCAGATAAAAAACTGTTGTATAAAAATATAAAGAACTCTTAAAACTCAACAATAAGAACACAAGCAATCTGATTTAGAAATTGGCCAAATACCTTAACAGATACCTCACTAAAGATCTAAAGATGACAAATAAGCATATGAAAAGATATTGCGATAAGAGACATGTTGTCATATGTCAATAGGGAAATGCAAATTAAAACAACCATGAGATACCATTTATTTTTTATTATTTTATTATTTTATTTTTTTTAAAGATTTTATTTGTTTATTCATAGACACAGAGAGAGAGAGAGAGAGAGGCAGAGACACAGACAGAGGGAGAAGCAGGCTCCATGCAGGGAGCCCAACGTGGGACTTGATCCTGGGTCTCCAGGATCAGGCCCTGGGCTGAAGGCTGCACTAAACCGCTGAGCCACCCAGGCTGCCCATGAGATACCATTATACACCAATTAGAAGGGTCTAAATCCAGAACACTGACAATACCAAATACAGGCAAGGATATGGAGTAACAAGAAATTATCTTTCATTGTTGATGGGAATGCAAAATGGTACAGCCACTTTGGAAGACAGTTTGGCAATTTCTTACAAAACGAAATCTCCTCTTACCATATGATCCAGTAATTATACTCATTGGTGTACCCAAAGGAGCTGAAAATATATCCACACAAAAACCCACACACTGTTTATGGCAGCTTTATTCATAATTGTCAAAAACTGGAAGCAAATAAGATGTCCTGGGAGCAAATGGATAAATAAACTGGGGTACATCCAGACAATGGAATATTATTCACTGTTAAAAAGTAGTGAGCTATCAAATCATGGAAAGGCATGGAGGAAACTTAAATGCATACTATTAAGTGAAAGAAGCCAATCTGAAAAGGCTACATAGCGTATGATTCCAACTATCTGATATTCTGAAAAAGGCACAACTACAGAGACAGTAAAAAGATCAGTGGTTTCCAGGGATTAAGGGGGAGGAAAGGATGAACAGGCAGAGCAGAGAGGATTTTTAGGGCGGTGAAACTACTCTGTATGATGATACTTCAGTGGATACATGTTATTATACATTTGTTGAAATACATAGAATGTCCAACACCAAGGGCGATGTATAATACCAACTGTGGACTCTGGGTGATAAGTAAATGTTAGGTTCATCGACTGTAATAAATGTATGACTCTGGTGGGGGATGTTTGATAATGGGGGAAGCTATGCATGTGTGGGGGCAGGGAGTATACATGAAATCTCTGTACCTTCTCAATTTTGCTATGAATGTAAAACTGCTTTAAAAAATAAAGTGTATTATAATATTATCATCAAAATGTCTGAGTCACAAACCCAATAAATATTTAGATTATAATTTAGAAAGAAAATTGAACCCTGGGAGAGCCTGGACTTAACCAACTTTAACCAACCTAAGAAAAACATGCTGAGAAAGTTAGCAACTTGTTTTGTTTTTATCCTCCCTATGATAATGAAAACAATGCTTGTTTCCTGCACCTTCTTTTCTCATTAGTAGAACTTTGTCAGGCCACTTAAATGGTGTTCAAAATGTATCCTGCTTTTCTAGTTTGGGGGGAGTGGTGGCAAATGTAGTTGACCTCATGTTTGTTCCTCTCCTCCTTGCACTCTGCCCATGCATGGCGACACCAGGCCCAGCAGCCTCTACCAGAAGTCCATCCCCTCTAAGCTCTGGCTACCTTGAGCCAGGGATCTCAGCAAGGAAACAGTGTAAAAAAACATCAGGAATGCTTTGTAGAGTGTCCAATGTCTGCGGTGTGCTTCATACTTGACAACAGCCCCAGAGTTACAGGAAAAACACGTGAGATGGAATTATGTTGGTCTATTGTTTTATCATTGATCTTAGTAAAACTATTTCTTAAACTCCTAAAACTGCTTGTAAGCTAATAAAGAGGGAAATTATTCTGTACCATGCCTGAGGTGGAGTGGAGATGAGGGTGGGGAGTTGGAGAATGAGGAGAAGGAGGAGCCAAACCGGGCTGGTACCCTGTATTCATTCATTCTGTGAATTCAGGCACACATTAGTGAACAAGAGAGGCAAGTTTTCTGTTTCTATTCTAGAACGGGGAAATACAGGCAATAATAAGCAGATTACTTAACATGATGATGTTCAAGCAGAATAGGACGATATGATGGGCATGAGGTGGGGACTTGGGGGCTGAGAATTGGGGCAGGGGTACTTTATTAAGCATAAAGGGAAGAGCACAGAGCAGAGACCTGAATGAGGTGAGGAAGCCAGCTGTGATGGTCTCTGGCTAAAAGGTACAGTCCATTTTAGAAAGAGGCCCTCTGTTTTTTTTCTGGAGAACTCATTTATATACTGAGGTAGAACAGGTTATTTTCCTCATTTCTTGCCTCCTTCTTGAAGTGAGATACAAACCTATCCCTTCTTTGGGGGCTAGGTACCTGGTAAATCAGACTGATGTTGCTCAAGGTTTCACAGAGACAAATTCTTGGTATATACTGAGACTATATATAGTCTCTCTCTCTCTCTCTCTCTCTCTCTCTCTCTATATATATATATATATATATATATATATATATATATATATATCTCCATCCTGAGCTAAGGAATAGGATAAATGCTTTGGGCTTCAAAGGGGAGAAGGGCAATGCACAGGAAATAAGGGGGCAGAGAGCAGATGTTCCCTCTGCAATACAGATGTCAGATAAAATTTTTCATTGGTAATGAGTCTTAATCTAAGAAAGACACTCAATTTAGATACCTCTAGGCAGTCGAAGGAGAAACAAAATTTCTCTTGAGTCCTCAGGGTCTGGATTGCTTTCAGCTTAACATAGGCCACATGACAAATTGGCACATTTTGGGGACGCCTGTTCTGAAACCGTTTATTAGTCAGCAAGGATTGCCAGGGCTCTGCAGGCATACTTGTATGTATGTATGGGTCCAGACTCCATCGTGGGATAGTAAGCCATCCCAAACTGTCTGATGTAGAACAACCTCTAAGGCTCGCAGTTCTAAACTTGTAGTCCTGGGGCTTCAGTTCTGATGATAAGATTTCAGCATGTAACAGCACTCCCATCATCTAGGGTTAACTTGTTTCATGCTTATGCGCTCCTTGCTTGCTGACCAAAGTCCCTTGGTCTATAGCAAAACCACCTTCTTTTCCTTGAGATTTGCAGACCACTGGCCTTGAGGAATGAAGGCCCAGAAGATAAGGCCTGTCTACATTCGAAAACACTACCACTGACGCCAGCAAGTCCTTCTAGGGTTTTGTCCACATATGACTAGCTGCCGGGGCACCCGCTTCTCTGCACATAGCCCCCCTCCCTCTTTTAATGTCTTCCACTTTAAAACACTCCGGCTTCGCCTGATCGGGGAAGACCATCTTTGAGACCGTAGTCTATCATCCTCCCAGGTAGCTGGCTTTCTGAGTAAAGCAACCTCCACCCCCCCCCCCCCATCACTTGTCTCTCGAATGTTGATTTTCCAGCAGGGGGCAGCTGAACCTGAGTTGTTCCCTGTCCAATAACAAGCCTGCCAAACCGCATGTGCGTTTCGCTGGGGAGTGTCTAGAAAAGTCACTCTCAAAAGGGGGCGACGTCTACCAGAACAGCGACTGGCCTCAGGACTTGTCCACGGCCACTTTCTTACTGGTAAGAAAAACGACAAGATCAGCTCCCATTCCCTTCTCGGTTGCGAGGGCAGACAAATATCCCCGGGACCCACGCAAGGGCAGCGTAAACACAGCTCTGCTAAGTGTCACAACTAGATTCCGATCTCGGCCGCAGCGCGCCCAAGCCCGTCGGGGGCTATTTGCGTCCCAGTCGCTCAGCATTGTGGGACTGGTAGTCCAGGCTGGTGCGTGGGTCTGGACTGCTGAAGCCATAGAACTACACTTCCCAGCAAGGACCCCAGCAGTAGCTGGCGCGGGCCGTGTGCGTCAGTCACCAGACTTCCGGACGAGCCGGGGGCGGGCCCGCGGCGGAGGCTGGAGCTAGGCGTCGGGATGCAGCGCCCCGGGCCCTTCAGCACCCTCTACGGGCGGGTCCTGGCCCCGCTGCCCGGGCGGGCCGGGGGTGCGGCCTCTGGCGGAGGCGGGAACAGCTGGGCCGTCCTGGGTTCGCACGTGCAGCCTCCTGGGCGCGCGCAGTCCGGGACCCGCGCCGGCATCGTCAACACAGGTACCTACGGCGGAGACGCCAGCAGAGCCTGCCCGGCCCCCTCTACGATGTCCAAGGCCGAGGAGGCCAAGAAGCTGGCGGGGCGCGCGGCGGTGGAGAACCACGTGAGGGTGAGTGGCTCCGGGCGTGGGACTTCCGTGCTCGGCGCGATGGGCTCGTGTTGCGCGCTCCGGCTGCTGCTGGAGCCAGGGCGAGGGCTGCGTGAGAGGGGAGAGGGTGTTCCCTGCACCCGGGTTTAGGGCTCCCCTTCTCCTTGCTTCTTAAACGTCTTTTAGATGTGAGATCGATGGGGGGGGGGCGAGTCTCCCCAAAAGTTGAGCTTTCTAAAGGACTCCTTATCCGGCCGGGTAACACTTTGCAAAGTGGCGTCTGGTGGTGCCCGATGTGCTTGGAGTGGCGCTGGAGGGGATTTGCCGTGGGGCTTCTTTACTAACAAATGGAAAATGGTGAGTTCTGGGGCTGCCAAGAGAGCCTCTCTTCTCTTTACTACGCAGGGAAGCCGGTGGAGAGCTGGTTTGAAAATCGCTTTGAAATTTCACAACAAGGAGGTTTATCTTGAGCTTGTCGCCCGCCCGGTCCTGAGTGTGCTCGGCAGTGAAGGAGACAGCCAAAGAGGGGAGACCTGGGCTTTAAACCTCCTGCCTTTGACAGGCTGGGTGGACCCATGAATTCTGGAGAGAAAAAAAAAAAAGCTATTCTTTAAGGTTAGGGCACAAAGTTTAGCTGTTACCCGCCAGGTCCTGTTGGGTGTGGTGCTATTCAGTGGAGTCTCTTAACCTGAGTGGATTTATTGTCATCTGTCAAGTTAATTATCTTAATTATGGTACTTCCGTGGAGCCAAGTGGAGTATCTCTGCCCTTTGGTGGAGTTTCCTTGGCTTTGTTGGCCTTTTGTCTCTTCTGTTTCTTAGAAAGTGGTTTTAGATTCCCTTTTTCCTCTCATGATTGTTCTTTACATTTGTTAATGCTTCGGTGCACAGAGTTACTTCGCAAAGATGATGTTTGATCTTCCCTAGCTTGACCAAGTGGGAGGGACCCAGTGTGACAACCTGTGGGTCAGCATGTGCTGTAGAAGGAATGGCAGAGGATCCTCCGGAACCCAAACTGGAGTGACTCCTGTTCCAGTACCCTTCCACCAGTTCCCTAGCTGCTGTTTTGGTGGTTTGTTCCAAGTCTGGTTAGTAGTGGAGTTTTCTATGGGAATTCGCAGAGACAATGCAGAATGTGTAGTCTGGCTCTACTATTAGGATTCAGTGTCTCTGCTATAAAATTGAGACAGTAACCTGAAATTTTTAAAATGCCTGTATAAAGGGAATGATTAATAATAGATGGGTGAACGAAATCTGTACAGCTAGAGAAGTCTCATATCTTAGTATCCCTATTAACCTGGTTACATTAATATTTGGTGTTGTAAGTCTTGGTGACTTTCTCTTTATAATGTATTTTGCTTACATAAAAATCTGCAAACCCCCACCTCAGGCTAGAGCTACAAAACACTGGATTCCAGCCACATTATTCTGTGAAATTACCAGGCGATCACGGAGAGATCTTCTTTAGCCTTTTGGAGGCACCTCACTCCAATCTCAGTTGCACCTACTTTCCCTACCAAACTTCTTCCTGAGATGCTAACATTACCTGAATTTTCTATTTTCTGCTCTTAAATGTTGATGTATTCATTTCATCCATTTATCAGGTATTTGAGGGCCTAATGTGTGTCAGGAAATTGGTGTGGTGGCCAGAAATGTGGCTGCAGAGAGAAAGAAAATCAGGGCCTGGATACTTTGTAAGCAGGATAATAAATTCAGATCTATATATGAATTAAACATAGTCATGTGCCTAATTATAGTCATGTGCCTTAGCTGGATGCCCTTTTTTGGGGGGGGGGGCCTGTCTTTTTCTCCATCTAAGCCATGTTTTCCTCTAGTACTTTGTGTCTTGAAATTGTTTACTCACTTGTATAAGTTTATTGAGATGGTCATGTGTGGAGCCCCATTGATTCTACTTTTGGCATGTTGTTAGAGCTGACCCTTCCCTTTGACCTATCACCTAGTTGAGACTCTCCCTTGGCCAGAAGATTACAGTTGCCTTTATCCTGTCACCTCTGCCAACCTCCCACATGATGCACTGTCATCTTCTGAAGCGCTCATCTGCTCTTGTCATAGTGACCCTCAGGTGGTCTCATCCTAATATTGGCATAGCATAACTAAAGTATCTGTTATGAGCCAGGTACTGAATCAGATAGAGAGGACACACAGATGACAGACTGTGATTTTTCCCCTGAAACCCAGTCTTGTTTCTTTCTATAATCCTTTTTCCTCCATGTACCAGAACATTGGAAAATATATACTGGCATATAGCGTGCGTTTTAATATCACTAAACTCTTAGAATGCTCTTTCTTGTCCTCTGACCTTGCTGGTTAAAATCATATGTGTCCTTTAGGATTTGATTCAAAGACTCTTTCCTCCTTTTAGTTTATCCTTAGCTTCCTAAGTTGGGGAAGATGTCTTCGATTTTGTAGCCCTTTATACCTCTTAGAAGTTTAATGGTTTCTTAGGTACTAGTCATCTGTATGTTTATCTCTCCTGTTCCCCTAAACAGTAAGCTCTTAGTGGATGGTTAACCTTATCTTCACCCAGTGTTGGTCACAAGGGGGCTGGCTGCCTGATAAATGTTTGTTGAGTTGTGTGGAATGTGGACACAAATATGGGGTTATTGGTGGCCCTTTGCTTAGACTCTCTGGACTGTAGGGTTTCCAGTTCTCTCGCCCATTGGTGTTCCATTGTGGTGACCACTTCTACATCTGGACGGATGGAAAATATGGTGATTTACAAAAGCTAAATCCTTTGGGTAGCCACTCTGAACTCAAATCTGCCTATCTCTGGGAGTATAGCCACCCAGGATGGGTTACCATACAGGGCCATGTTCTCCTGAAGGTCTGTAGCTCCCTTTGTTCTCTTTGGAGCCTGGCTTTGTTTTTTTCTTTTTTCTTTTTTTTAAAGATTTATTTATTTATTACTGAGAGACACAGACAGAGAGAGGCAGAGACACAGGCAGAGGGAGAAGCAGGCTCCCTGCAGGGAGCCTGATGAGGGAGGGACTCAATCCCTGATCCTGGGATCGTGACCTGTGCCGTGACCTGTGCCGAAGGCAGGCGCCCAACCACTGGGCCACCCTGGCATCCCTGGCTTTGTTTTTTGACTGGCTTAGCTTGAAGAGGTTGGTGACTAGTGACTCCAGTTGATCAGCAGAAGTAGTATTTCCAAGTTAACCTCAACACAGTGAGTGAAGTTCCAGTGTTGCATGTATGACATGTGATTTAGTATTACCCATCAGAAGGGGCCTGCTTCTCCAGCAGAGCTTGTTTGGCAGCTACTATTGGGCCACCTCACAGGCAGCCTTTGGCTAGCTCTGTTTTGTTTTGGCGAGGACACTGATTCCTGGGCCAGTCATTTGACTCCAAGGTAGGAGGCCCTTATGGGTGAAGAGCTTTGGGCCTGGCAGGTCCCTGCAACTTCCTGGCCTCTTCCAGAAGCCAAGGAAAGAGCCTTGCATCGAGCCTATCTGACTCACCAAAGTTCATCTGTGTGCTTCCTGCCTGCTGGGAGCTTGTGAATGACATGAGTGTTGATAAAGAGGATTCTGGCAGTTGGATTAGTATAGAGCTAGAGCTATGGGTTTCAGGTCAGGCGTGAGAGTCAGGTTGAGTCTACGTAGGCAATAGTAAATTAAGTAATTTTCTCATTACTTGAAGATGTTTACATATTCAGATATTCAGCTGTTTTGAACATTTTGACATATCATTCACTTGTCTGGAAGGCCTTGCTGTGGAGGTCTGCCCAGGTAGCTAAATGATGACTAGATGCATTGCCTTCTTGAGAGCATCACTGAAGATGGAATTCTGACCTAGAACAAGTTCTGCTCTGAGGCTCCTTGGTATTTTTGGTGACTAGGGAACTATGAGCTAGTCAAAGTGATTTCCATCAGCTTTCAAACAGAGGCTGATGGGTGAAGACCCCTGTAGGTAGGAGACGCCCAGTTAGAAGTGCTTTAGTTGCTGGAATATTAGCATTTGATTTATTTTTTGTAGCTCCCTCCACATTTGGTCGTTTTTTTCTAATCTTTCATAGTTTGAGATGTAGTCTTTGAGAAGGACCATAGAAGATACGGGCCCAGGGGCTGGCATTGGATACCCTGTGGCCTTTGTCCTCTGGAAAGTGAGGGGTGTTGGCTGTAGCTCTGGGTTTGGCCCGAGTTGCCTCCAGGACTTTTCTTCCTCCTACAAAATATTAAAAAACAAAATTCCACTGAGTAAATTTTAAAGATCTGTTGGCTTTATTCAGTGATTCATGAATTAGGCAGCATCCAACCTAGCCCACAGAGTGGAGTGCCAAGGAGCTGTACAAAATGAAAGACTTATAGCCAGAAAGGGCAGGCACTAAGAAGTTGTACTAGGCATGAAAGCGGGTTGGTTATTACAAGGTCACTTTCTTTATGGGGGACGGCAGGGGTCTCTCAGGCAGATAACCTAGCTAGTGCTGATTGGACAAGTCTTAATGGCTTAAGATTTCATTTTGGGAGCAGCCAAAAATCTAATTAAGTCATGTCTTGGTTTGGTGACCTGGGGCTTAGCCTAAGTGACTCCATGTTGGGACTTTTTGTTTTGTTTTTTTAACACTTCCTGTTTTGTATCAGGCAAAAGATTTGCCTTACTTACAGTGTGCAGTTTAAGCTGGCTTTACAAAAATGGTCTGTAGGTGAGTACTGGCCAACCCCAGGGGCAGTCAGAAAGGAAGAGCCCCACAAAAAACACAGAGCCTAGGTACACCTTAAGAGTGAAAAGCAGAGTTTTCTAGCTTCAATGACTTTTCTTCTTTTTAAATGTTTTATTTTTTTTTAAATTTTTATTTATTTATGATAGTCACACACACACACACACACACACACACACAGAGAGAGAGAGAGAGAGAGAGAGAGAGAGAGAGAGAGAGGCAGAGACATAGGCAGAGGGAGAAGCAGGCTCCATGCACCGGGAGCCCGACGTGGGATTCGATCCCGGGTCTCCAGGATCGCGCCCTGGGCCAAAGGCAGGCGCCAAACCACTGTGCCACCCAGGGATCCCTTCAATGACTTTTCCCATAAGTTTAATATCTAGAAGACAAGGGACTGACCACAGGCACCGTCAGGCTGGTGGTATTACAGGGAAGCCTCGGGGACACAAGCCTACCATCTAGAGCCTCCCTGAAATCAGCAGAAGGTGGAGAGCCTGAAGTAACATTGAAAGTTACCTTTTCAATTAGAAGACAAACCATGAGAAACCCAAAATTCTGGGAAACAAAGGGTTGCAGAAAGGGAGGGGGAGGGGAGTGATGGGCACTAAGGAGGGCATTTGATGGCAAATCAAATATGTTGGCAAATTGAATTTAAATTAAATTTTTTTTTTAAGTTACCTTTTCTTTAGCGCGGTGCAGTCTGGCCAGCTCCAGGGAACTAGAGGGGGTACCATAGGACCAGCCAAGAGGGTCCTTGGCTTCACACAGGATCAAAGCCAAATTTGAGTTGGTAGGAAGTAAGAGCAGAGTTTGAATACCATGAGTGATAGAGTATGGCAGACGAGTGTCTGGAGATTCAGTAAGGAAAGGAGAAAGTCTTGTCTTTGCTTGGAGGCTGGGGTTTTTAATTGAGGGCAGTGGCCTCAGTGTATGTGCCTCTCAGGCGTCCAGGAACTGGTCAAAACAAGGTTGAGTGCTCAGGTGTCCTCTGTAAGTCACTTATGCCCTGGAGCCAGGGCCTTGTCTGGAGTCTGTGGTCTTGGAAAACCCTTCGTGATGACCCCGCCCAGTCACTCCTTAGATGTTATCTGTTGTTCTGGAAGACTCTAAAGATATCATTAACTCCTTGACCTTACGAGATATGTTATCTGCACCATAAGGTATGTTTAGGGTGGCGGTGCAGGTCCTAGCAAGAATAGAATCATGAAAAAAAGCAGTTTTTTTTTTTTTCATGGAGTCTCTTCACTTTCCCTGTCTCAGGGGGATGGCAGAGGGTTTGAAATACCAGACCACATTAGCATCTGACCAGTTGATGTCAGAAGGTCCCCATTTTGCAAAAGCCTGCCTCAGAATATGGGAAGAGGGTGAGGCTTAGTTAGGATTATGAGAAATAGTCTTTATCTGCAGTAGGGAAATGTGTAAGGGAGTATTTATGAGTACAAAGGTCAAGAAGCAGGCATCACACTACTGAGCCTGCCATTTTAAGAAAGGGGGAAAGTCCCTAAGAGCAGATTAGGAACCGCCAAAGTCAGTTAGACCACAAACAGCAAAAGTGTCAGGGTAGTACAATTAGGAACTAATGTGGAGCTCACTCAGTTCCTAAGCAACTTCCTGCCTGCCAGTCTAAGGCAAAAGAGCTAAAAACCAAAGCAGTAGCTACTATTTAATTCAGCACCTACCAAGATTTATAAATGTTAATTTTTTTAAATTTTTATTTATTTATGATAGTCACAGAGAGAGAGAGAGAGAGAGAGAGAGAGAGAGAGAGAGAGGCGCAGAGACATAGGCAGAGGGAGAAGCAGGCTCCATGCATCCGGAGCCCGATGTAGGATTCGATCCTGGGTCTCCAGGATGGCGCCCTGGGCCAAAGGCAGGCGCCAAACCGCTGCGCTACCCAGGGATCCCTATAAATGTTAATATGAGTCAGATCTTACCACAACCTCTTGTGACCTCAGGACCAGTTATCCCCACTTTAAAGATTATTTATTTATTTATTAATTATCTATGTATCTATCTATCTATTTATTCATTTTAAAGATTTGTTTCTTTATTCATGAGAGATACACAGAGAGAGTTACAGACATAGGCAGAGGGAGAAGCAGGCTCATCTCAGGAGCCCAATGTGGGACTCGATCCCAGACTCCAGGATCATGCCCTGAGCCGGAGGCAGACACTCAAGTGCCGAGGCACCCAGGTGTCCCAAGATTTATTTATTTATTTCTGTATTTCTTTCTTTCTTTCTTTCTTTATTTATTTATTTATTTATTTATTTAAGAGAGAGTGTGCATCTGCATGAATGGGGATGGGTGGGGGAGAAGCAGACTCCCGTTGAGCAGGACCCTGAGATCATGACCTGAGCTGAGTCTGATGCTTAACCCACTGAGCCACTCAGGTGTGCCTCCCCACTTTTAAAGAATTATTCGGCCCTAGAAGGAAACATTTAAGACTTGGAAATGAAGAAAAGAGATTCTTGGATATCCTTTCATTGGAGTGCTGCTTCCTGCAGGTGTTTTGTGTACCTTAGCCTCCAGTAGTCTATTTACAATCCTAGAGAGAGACTTGAATTTGTAGAACACTCTTAATGCAAATAGTTTCTGTCAATTGAAATGCAAATTAATTGTTTTATGAGATTCAACAGATTACTCCAAAGATCTTGTAAATTCATTTGAACATTTCCTGACTGCATATGAATTTATGGTTCTTGGGTTTTCCCTGTGAACAGATTGTAACAGTTTCATGATTTTTTTTTTTAAATAATTTAACAATATCAGTTACCCGCCTACACAACCTCACTTTGAATAAGCAACTTCCGGAAGTTCAGCATGCTGAAATATTTCATGTCAAATTTCTTAGAGTTCCAGCAGCTGATTAAAAACTCATTTGGCAAGGGGAAGCCTATCATAGTGAGATTTTCTTTTGTTATAAACAGGACAACAGGCTCCAAATTGAGTCACTTGTGCTAAGCTCATGTCACTAAAGAGGAGACTTAATTACTGTTTCAACTCTCCCAGAAATGGAATGTTAAATTAGTCAGAAATTGTCTGATCAGCATTAGTTAGGTAATCTGCCTGAGAGGCCCCTGCCATCCCCTGAAGAAAAGTAACATGGCAATAACCAGTCTGCTTTTCTGCCTGCTATGACTTCCTTGTTCATACTTCCTCTGGCTATAAAAGTTTTTTCATTTTGTATAGTTCCTTTGAGCTCCTTTCTGTCTGCTAGATTGGATACTGCCCAATTTGCTCAAATAAACTTAGTTTTTAATGTGCCTCAGTTTATCTTTTTAACAGGAGGAAATGGTGATATTAGGGTCAGACATAAAGGGAGGAGGGTGCTGCTGATAAATCACCTTGGGCACTAGGATAAAGGACATCTCTGAAGTGGTCTGTTCAGTGCTTATGTTTCTATAAAATGGGCACAGTACCTACTTTGTACTGATGTTGGTGAATTGATCCAGAAAGGGGGCTTAAAGAGGGAGTAAAATACGGTATTAATGAGTTTTGGGTTTCTCTCTCTCTCTCTCTCTCTTTTTTTGGCAGAATAACCAAGTACTAGGAATTGGAAGTGGCTCTACAATTGTTCATGCTGTGCAGCGAATAGGTATGCCCTTGGTCTGTCTACTGGATGTTTTGTGTGGGGTGGTGGGAGTGGGGATGGAGAGGAGGGGGAGGAGATGGGGCACAGATTTGGCACCTGCCCAACTCTGGTCATCTCTGAGGGGTATTTTTGGCTTCTTCAACCAACATTAGGGGATGCCTGACTTTTTGTACTCTGCTCATTTGGAGGGTGGGAGCTGATTTAAGATGAGGTCTCAACAGTATTTTAATTCTCATCAGTGGTCCTATGTGGGACCCCGGGGGCCCTGAGGCAAGCTTTCTAAAGCCTTTGGGTTCCTCAGGTCATCTCAGATAGACAGATTGAGCTCAGAGCAGGCTTGCCCTGTCCGTGACCCTGGTGTGGATTTGAGGCATCTGAAGTTGGTGGCTGGTTCTTGCAGGTGCTGACTTCCGTTCTGATTAGGGTGTCTCAGCTTAGGAAAGGTTCAGGAATTATCAGTCCCTATGGCTGCTCAACAGGTTTTACTACCCTGCTTTGTTTGTTAAAACAAAGCTCAGAGGAGAGGCTTGCCTGACTGCTGATTGCTTCTAGGTGCCAAGGGGCAGTGCTCAGGAGACAAAGTCCAGGAACACTGTGTCTTTAAAAGAGTGTTTATGGTGCTGGCTTGAGGGCTTCTGGAATTCTTCTCACTGGCTTAACCTGGGCTTTAGTGTTGCATACCTTTCTCCCTTAGCAGTGAGGGTGTGGAGGATTTTAGGGCACAGGGATTACTGTGGGTTTCATAGTAGTGCCTTCTGAACCTCCCATGATGCAGACCTAATGATTAAAAAGACTTAACATTTTAATAAGATAGTTATTTCCTTAAGACACCCCCCCCCCCCGCCAGCAAAGTACAAACCCAAAATGAATAAGTAAACCTTGTTTAACCACCCTCTGGGGCCTACACATGATTATATTTTTTACTAAATGTAAAAGTAAAGTACTCTTTTTCTGTGAAAGGCATTATAAGGAAATAGTTAAGACTGGAGCTAGACTGGGGGATCATAGCTCAGCTCTGCCACCTATTAGCCATGTAACTACCTGGTGACTGGAATCTGTGTCTCAGTTTCCTCATATGTAAAATGGGTATAATAACAGCAACTTACCTTTGGGTTTAAAAGAGTTTACATGTACAAAGGTCTTTGAACATTGCCAGGCATGTTATAGTAGCAAACATGACACTGCTCTTGTTGCAGTTAGTATTTATGCCTTGAGCTATCTAGTGTCCCTGTCCTGTGTACTCCATGTTTGTTTGCCAGCATTTTCACCAAGGCCCGGGACCCAGAATAAAAGGCAGCTGTCAAAAAAAAAAAAAAAAAAGCAGCTGTCAGTGGGGGATAAACCTTTCCTTTTCTCTTGGATTGAGCAAATATGCATGTGACAAGAAACGTAAAGTGAGGAGAGTGAAAAGCCACCAACAAGTCTTTTGTCTCTACAGCTGAAAGAGTGAAACAAGAGAATCTGAACCTTGTCTGCATTCCCACCTCCTTCCAGGTAGGTCTTGCTTTCCATTCTGCATCTTGGCACTTGCTGCTGAATCTCCTGGGTCCCTGAGGACATCGAGGTGTGGCTTTGCGTTGTGCACCAGAGTTGTTTTAGGTGAGAGAGCCAGGAGCAGGAAAGCAGCTGATGTACTGAGGATTGCTCTTCAGAAGTGTGGCTTTGGATGCAATATTTCAGTGTATTCTGTGTGTTAGACACAGTATAGTATATGGAGAGTTTTAAAACTCTTTGCTGGTTGGACATTTGCTCCAGTATCTGGAAACTGCATGCTTTTCTTGCTACTTAAAATTTTTTTTTTCAACTTGGTGGGATAATTCTCTACTGAATGGATGAATGAATGGAAGATGGGTGTTTGCTTAATTTTTACATCCTTGCTTTCCCAGTTCACACACGGCTCTCTCTCCCAACGTTCCAGTATAGTCACCTTTTGGTGAGGCGTTACTCAGTGTGTGCAAAATTGTGTTCAGCAGACTATGGCCGAGCCATGTAGTATACTGTGATTACTCCTTCTTACCTGCCCATTAATTTCGTTTTCCTGAAAGTAAGTGTTGCCTTTGTTTGTTTGTTTGTTTGTTTGTTTGTTTGTTTTTACTTGCTTGGTTGTCTATACACTCCTTACTAATTCCACCCCAGACTCTCTTACCCAGATGGGAAACTCTCACTTCTTTCAGATACTTCTTTCCGGGTATTCCACTGCACCCATTTCATCTTGGCCAAGTCTCTGGGTCATTGGGATTGGGAATGCTTTGGCTGTTGTCTTGGAGTCCCCCTTTGCAATCAGGAACTGTCTTTGTCTTCATTTTTGGATTGTCCTGTTTCTTGGTCCTGTTTTTCCTCACTCACCGCTCCCTAACCTTTTGCTTTGTTTCCTTCAGTTTTGTTGAAGCACATCCTTTAGGTAGCTATCCAGGTGTGTGGTATGCAAATTGTGGGCATTTGGAAGTCTGAAAATGTCTTTATTCTACTCTTTCTTGAAGTTGGTTTTATGACTTAAGAGAATTACATGTAAAGTCATTTCTGAGGAATTTTATTTTATTTTATTTTATTTCTGAGGAATTTTAAAGGCATTTCTTTATTGTCTCTGTTATCTTCTGATTTTCACTTTGCTGTTGAGGAGCTTGATGACATTCTATTCTTGGTTCTTTGTGTGAAACCATTTTTTAAAATTTTATTTATTTATTTTTTAAAGCCCCAATGTGGGGATTGAACTCAGTGCTGAGGTCAAGACCTGAGAACAAGTGCACTACTTAACCCACTGAGCTACCCAGGTGCCCCTGAAACCTTTTTTTTTTTTTTCTCTCTCTGCACCTTTATACTCTTATATCATCTTTTCTTCATGTCCAGTATTCTGAAATTTCACCATACTGTGTCTTACTGTGGGTTTGTTTTTTATCCACTCTGCTAAGCTGGGACATTTCATTCTGCAGATTCACACTCTTTGATTTGGGTGAGTTTTTTTCCATTATTGCTTTAATTTTCTTGCTTCTGTTTTTTTCTGGTCTTTCTAGGATGCTTGTTGTGTATCCTTGGTGCTTGTGGCCTATTACGTCCTATTATCTTTTAGCTTTGTCTTTTCTAAGCCTTCTATGGAGCTTATTTTACTTTTACGTTTAATTCCAAATAAAATCTTCTTTTATTGTCTGAGAGGTTTTTTTTTTAATTTGTTTAATGAGTTCAGCTTTCCCTTATCTCCATGAAGTTATTAATGATAATTTTGTTTTTGTTGTAAGATTTTCTTAAATATGTTTTCTCAAAGGTTTTTTTTTTAAGTTTGTTGGAATTATAATTTATATACTCTTTTTTGCATATAATTCAAAATTTACTCTTTTTTGCATATAATTCAGAGCTTTGACAAACCAACCAAACACAGTCAAAATGTTGTTCGGTTGCCTTGGTCATTTCTTATTCTGGCCTTCTTTAGCTATCTGTTCATTTTGAAGACTGGTAGACTAAGAAGCTGATTAAAAATTAGCTCATAGGATGAAAGTGGTCTTTGTTTCAGGCTCATCTGCTAGGCCCTCATGTTGGGGAACTCCTGATGTCAGATTATTTGTCTTTCTTCTGGCTGCTCAGATTTCTGAGAGAAGTCTGGTCAGCACCCCTTTGGAGGAGTATGCCTGGCTGCCTGTGTTCTGGGATCCAAGTAGGTGAAAAGGGCTAGAAGACATCTGTCATTATTCTGGATATAATCTTGCTTTGAGTTTTTAGTGAAGTACCTGTGATAGTTGGGAAAGAAGTATCTCCAATATTTTGCAATATCTTTGATGATGAGTGATGTTAAACATCTTTTCTTGTGTCTCTTAGCTGTCTGGATATCTTTGGGGAAATGCTTGTTCAATATTCACTCTTTTAAGCCTCTGAGTTTTGGGGTAGCTGCTGTGCAGTAAGAGCTCGCTGATAGAGTAATCTTGTCTTCAGCTGTGCCTGTAGCCAGTTTTGAGTCCTGCTCTTTGACCTTCTCCAGAGAATAAACATGCTGCTTTGGGAGTAGTGGAGAGAGATACAGCAGGTTCTTCATACCCTTTGAGCCAGTATTCCCTCTTTTACTCCCACTGTCTGCTTCCTGAAGGTTGCAGTACCATGCAGCCCTGAACTTTTTGGGAGTTTCTTTCTGTGATTATTTGTTTGGTTGTTTCTTAGCTTCTTGCAGTACTGCCTTAGGATTTGTATTTTTCATTTTTGCTAGTTACCATTGTTTACAAGTGGTCCTGCTTTTAAAAGTTTGGTATGGTTTTCTCCTCTTTTTGTTTGTGTTTTAGAAAATTTCCTTTATTACAGTTTTAGAGAGGTTTTTGGGGAAAAGCTGAGCCAAAGAGAGGTTTTCAAATTGCTATCTTTAATTGGAGGTTTAATTCTGTGTTTTAAAAATAACATCCACCTTACCCACCTATATTTTATGGTGGTAAGTGATGACAATGTACTTAGACTGGAAAATGCTGGCCATTTTCAGTAGATTCAGTGGAATCATTCACAATTCACAGGGCTTTTAAAAATTCACTTGTCCAGAGTTACTGTTTTGTTTTTTTCCCCTCATACCCAAACTTATTTTGCATTAAGTTCACCCAGATGGGGATCCCTGGGTGGCACAGTGGTTTGATGCCTGCCTTTTGCCCAGGGCGCGATCCTGGAGACCCGGGATCGAATCCCACGTCAGGCTCCCGGTGCATGGAGCCTGCTTCTCCCTCTGCCTGTGTCTCTGCCTCTCTCTCTCTCTCTCTCTCTGTGTGACTATCATAAATAAATAAGAAATTAAAAAAAAAAAAGTTCAGCCAGATGCAATCTCCTGAAATGATTGAAAAAGTTAAATTTTTTTATGTTCTACTTTCTAAACAAATAAACCTATAGGGATTTAAAGGATTTTTTGGTAGATTTTTTCCTTTAAAGTTAAAAGTTTTTGAAAGAGGACAATAGAGAAATGTATTTAAAAGCCAGATCTGGTCTGAGCCAAAAACAGTTTATTTTTTGCATCAGCCTTCAGTGCACCTCAATTAGATGATAGAAGGGAAAATACAGACTCTCAGATTTTATTGTGAAATTTATGAATAACAGAACTGCTGGTCTCTGCCACATGCCACTGTCCGTAGTCACTAGAGGCTTCTGGGGGCCCTCTTGTGGGATTGCAGTGACAAGGCACTGGTTCCTGTCTTTTTTCTAAAAGCACAAGCTAGTCATTAGCTTTATTGCTCCCTGAACTTTTCTAGAGCTAGAAGAGGCAGACAGGGGTGTCTGCTCTATGCCCCCAGGAGATCCCTAATTTGTGAGCTCAGAGTATCTGGTACCCAGCAGATGCTAATCTTAGTTGAGCACCTGTGGCTGCATTTGTGCTGACTGAGCCAGTGTTGGGTCAGTACCCCCACAATTGGGCTGTTGTGTTGAAGCTAGCATATTGGTTTCTTAGGACTGCCATAACAAGGTACCACAAACTGGGTGTGATCTAAAAACTAGAAATGTATTGACTGTTGATTCTGAAGGCTAGCAGTCCAAAATCAAGGAGTCTGAGATCAAGAGGGACAACCTATGGGGTGCCTTTCTTCTATTTCCTGATGGTTTCCTGTCTGTTTTTGGCATTACTTGGCTTGTAGGTGCATCATCCTGATCTTTGTTTTCATGTTTGCATGGTGTTCTCCCTGTGTTCACCTGTCTGTATCCAGATTTCCCCTTTTAGGGACACCAGTGATATTGGATTAGGGCTCAGCCTAATGACTTTGTTTTACCTTGTGTTTTACCTTTACGAAGCCTTATCTCCAAATAAGCTCACATTCTGAAGTTCCTGGGGGTGATTAGGACTCCAACCTGTTTTGTTTTTTTTTCCCTCCAGGGGAATAGGTCAGCCCGTAACAGGAAGGATAATGCTCATGCCACTTGTGACTCGGGCTTCTCTGTGTGTGCAGGACCACTCACAGGGGTCCTGTCCAAGTTGAGGAGTCTAGTCAAAGCTGAGGAGAAGGGAAAGTTGTAGGACACAGATGGGAGCAGGTTAAAGGGTCCTACCCTGATGGGTCTTGAGGTCAATGTACAGTGTTCTCCATGTTGTAGATGGAGATGCAGCCTCTTTAGAGCAAGGGCAGATGCTGTCCTTGTGTTATTGCTTATTATCTGGGAAGTTGAGAATCCCAGGGCTTGCAGAAGTTGGGGCAGGGCCTCCCAGCCATACAAAATAGACAGCACTTATCTACTGGGCTCTTCATGTGCCAGACTCTGGACAGGAACTGCAATGGGTAGCTGCTGGTCTGGTGAGGAGGCAGAGTTCAGTTGGGCATAGTGATCGTTGAGGCTGTACTTACTGTTATAGGGCTATGAGGCTCCTCTACATGGGAGGTGTTAGTCACCACCTCTAGCATCCAGTGTGTGTCTGGCTCTTAGGCATTCTGTATGTGTGTGTTGGATGAATTAATGCTCCATTTCTGTGTGTCATTATTGACAAATATATGGTAGGAAAGTGGAGTTAGTGTGCTTTTTAGAGGAAGGAGAGCCTGTGCGTTGCCCAGGGAATTGGGGAGGGCTTCCTGGAGAGGATGACATTTGAGTTGGACATGCAGGGCTGGGGAATGGGAGAAGACAGTCCATTTCAGGTACTGGAGGAATGCCAAGATGTCAAAGAACTCCTTTTAAAATTGTCATCGTTGGGATCCCTGGGTGGCGCAGCGGTTTGGCGCCTGCCTTTGGCCCAGGGCGCGATCCTGGAGACCCGGGATCGAATCCCACGTCAGGCTCCTGGTGCATGGAGCCTGCTTCTCCCTCTGCCTGTGTCTCTGCCTCTCTCTCTCTCTGTATGACTATCGTAAATAAATAAAAAAAAAAAAAAAATTAAAAAAAAAAAAAGCATTTAAAATTGTCATCGTTAATAACATGTTATTGTATAAGATGACTTAAATGGGCCTGTCTTCGCTGCTTCCTGCTGTTTCACTATTCCCTCTGTTTTCCTTTTCTTCTAATTCCCTTTTTAGTCCCTAGACAGGACAAGAAGGCAAGAGACTATTTCTGGTCTTCACCCTGTCCCTGACTTACCACTGTGACTTCTTTGGGCATCCATTTCTTCCTTAAAACAGGATTTGCACTAGGTGACTCCTAGAATGAACTCAGAACAATTGGTTATTTACCCAACTGCTGGCTCAAATGACACTAACTGCTGTATGGTAACAAGAGTATGTAAAATGTGCTCTCTCATACTCTGATTACAGGCTAGTTGGACAAATAAGACATCCTCATGAAACAGTAACATTGTCCATAATGCAGGCAGTCTTTGAACTTAGGAAATTTTTTTTAAAGATTTACTTACTTATTTATTCATGAGAGACACACAGAGAGAGGCAGAGACACAGGCAGAGGGAGAAGCAGGTTGCCTGCAAGGAGCCCGATGTGGGACTCCATCCTGGATGCCAGGATCATGCCCTGAGCCGAAGGCAGATGCTCAACCGCTGAGCCACCCAGGCAACCCTGAACTTAGGAAATGTTAAATGAAAACGATCTATTTACACAGGATTTTTTCTTCCAATCCTGACATCCAGTTTTTATGTAATAAATCCAAGTGCAGTTTAGTATTGTTTTTAAAGAACATAAAATAGGAAATCATAGTAAACATCAATCACAGTTTTATTTGTGTGATAGATTATCACATTAAGTTATGTACAATTTGTATCATTTTTCTTTTTAAAAAAAATATTTATTTGAGAGAACACACAGGTGAGTTGGGGAAGGGGCAGAAAGAGAGAGAGGGAGAGAAGCAGATGCCCTGCTGAGTGGGAAGCCCCACTGGGGGCTCAGTCCCAGATCATGACCTGAGCTGAAACTAAGAGCTGGACGCCCAACTGACTGAGCCACCCAGGCACCCTGTATCAGTTTTCTAATACCATCTGTATTCAATATCTGTTGCTATGGAACAAATTGGCCCAAATTTAGCTTAAAACAACAAACATTTATTACCTCATAGTTTCCAAGGGCCAGGAATCTGGAGTGTTTTAGCTGGGTGGTTCTGGCTTCCAGTCTCTCCTGAGATTATAGTGAAGCTGTTGGCCAGGGCTGTGGTCATCTCAAGACTCAACTGTGGTTCAAGGATCCATTCCAAGCTCAGTCACATTAGTGTTGCAGGCCTTAGTTCTTCACAGGCTGTTTGGTAGAGGGCTCTGTCGGTGTCTCTAGGATGTGACAGCTGGTTTCCTCTAGTATGTGTTAGATAAGAGAGGGGTCAGAAGGAAGAGGGAGGGTAGGATGGAAGGATCTTGCTACAGTATGCCACCCTTACATATGCCATGGCTTTCTTTATAAACTAATCTCAGAAGTATCTTGTATCACCTCTTCTGTGTACCATTGGTCACACAGACCAATCCTGGGACTTTGTGGATGTGGATTATCTAAAGGCATGAATAACAAGCAGTGGGGATGATCATCTTGGAGGTGCCTTCTAGACATTCCCATTGTTTTTATAGCTTCAGGGTCTGGAATTAGGATGATTTCTCCAGTACTACTTTTAGAGAAATCTAGGAACTGAGAAGTAATTCTGCAATACCATTTTTATTGTTTTCTTCTTTCATTATATATTTCCTTTAATAAAAACAAAATTGTGGTTTAAAAAACATTTGCTATTTTCAGTCAACATTTTATTTTAGCTTTTTATATGGAAAATTTCACATTTCGGAAAGGATAAAGAACAACATAATGAACTTTTATGTACTTATTGCCCAGTTTAAAAAATCACCAATTCATGGCCAGTTTTGTTTTCATCTATACACCATTCTCCACTACCGTGGTTATTTTGAAACAAATCCCAGTCATAATTTCATTATATGTATTTCATTACGTCTCTTTGAAAATTAGGGAGGCTTTTAAACATCTCAGTAATACCAAAAAATTTAACAATAATCTTTGGTAACATAAACCCATAGGTTAAATTTCTCCTATTATCTTATCCTTTAAAAGTACTTTTTTTGGGTAGTATTTATTTATTCATGAGAGACACAGAGAAGGAGGCAGAGTCACAGGCAGAGGGACAAGCAGGCTCCCTGTGGGGAGCCTAATGCGGGACTTGGTCCCAGGACCCTGGGACCATGACCTAAGCCTAAGGTAGACGCTCAACCACTGAGCCACCCAGACGTCCCTAAAAGTATTTTTTATAGTTTGTTGGAATTAGGATCCTAAGAAGGCCTATATATTGCAAATTCCATGCTCTTTGTAGTTTTTTCTTAGAATCTTACAATTTTGGATTTGAATATTGGCATTGTTCATTTCATCCATCCCCATCTTTTTATAGACAAGAAAAGTTGCCAAGGGTCATGTGGCTGGTTTGTTTATGATTAGAGCTGAGATTTTCTGATTTTTAATCTTGGGTGCTTTTCATTTTAAGCAGAAAATATTTTTAAGACATGCCTTTGAAAGAAAGTTTTCTACCCTTTGATACCTCGGCATATTATAGACTATGACATGGATACAGATCCTTATCACTTGGCTTTGGGTTGTCAACCTCCAAGGTTCAAGGTATATTTATTTCAGTTGTCAGTCCCCCTCAGGGCCACATGGTGGTGGTAACCACTGCTCTCGCCTTTTGTCAGACCCTTTGAACTGTTAATATGAGGCATGTCTATAAAGTGAATCCTAGGACTGTCCCAGTGTGGTGTTCTCAATTTGCTGAGCTCATTTAGCCATTCTGGACATCCTGCCTTTGATACAGTCTGCTGAGTGTATATATTCTTTTGCTTATTTTCATTCAACATGGTAGCCTGGAAAACACTCTGTATCAATTCAGTTCTTATTTTAGGAAGGTTTTTTGTTTTGTTTTGTTTTTGTTTTGTTTTTAAATACTCTATTACCATAAGCTTTAGGAGTCCATGATATTGTCTTAAATAGCAGGTCACAGAGAAGGAACTCTTAGCCTGGCATTGGGAGCCTTCACTGTGTGCTGTTTGCCTTCTTCTGGCTCCCAGGATGAATTAACTTAGTTTTGCCATTCATAGAGCTATATCTCCTACCTCTTAGTGGACCATTTGGATTTAGGAGGGAGCCTTGTTCAGGACTCTGTGTCAGACACTGAAATCCAAAAGAATGCTGAGAATCTTTGCCACGTGCTCAGAGTAAATGATTACGGTGCTTTTTCTTGTCTTCCACAGGCCCGTCAGCTCATCTTGCAATATGGCTTGACTCTCAGTGACCTGGACCGACACCCAGAGGTAAGAGAGGGTTGGGCTGCTGTGTCTTCATCCTTTCTTATGGCTGTCACTTGCTCATGGGCTCTGGATATCTTGTTGAGTCTAAGAGAAAGGTCAGTGAGTCATACTAGATTTTCTCCTGGGATTTTGAGTATTAAATTTGGCTAAGGTCACAAGAGGAGAGGTTGTTAGTTTCCAGTACATGCCCCGTGGTTTAACCCTGAGGGCTCAATATGAGTGTAGTGAAGGGGGATTGGACAAACCCAGGGCTGGACCCAGAGCTTCCGGGGATCCTTGTACAGAAGTATGAGTGAGCTAGCCCAGGGAGCTTACCACTAGGTGGAGATAAGAAGTAATCGTCTGAGGCAGCCATGGAATTTGCAAACAGATTATAATTAAGTGTTGTGGCAAAGATGGTTATTAAACACATGGGCAATTCAGAGGAAACTGAACTTGATGAGAGTGAGCAGCATATTAACAACTAGCTTTTACTGAGCCCTTCCTGTATACTATGTATTATGCTAAGTACTATGTTTGTATTCAACTACTTAATATCTCCAGTAGTCTTGAGGGTACATACCATCATTACCCCATTTTACAGGTGTGAAAAAGACACAGAGAGGGCAAGCCATTTGTCAAAGCCACGCTTTCTGTAATTGGTAGAGCCTGAATATGAATTCAGATGCTTTTGGCTCTAGAGCAATGCTACTAGGTTTTGTGGGGAGAGGTGAAGTTTGAGCAGAACTGTGAAGGCAGGGTGGCCATGGCAGGAGAGTGCATTCCAGAGAGGAGTAGTTGAGAACCAGGGGCATTGGGCATATGTGGATAACCCCCAGGCTGGCTGGGGTGGTAAGGACCGAGTGAGTGGTATGCATTGGTGCATGGTGGGAGAGGAGAGGCTGGACTGGAAGAGTGGAAAGGGTTATGGCAGCTTGAGAACCAGACTGCAGATGGGGACCCGATGGTCTACTAATCTGTGTTGTCCTGGTACACGTGGGCCTTAGAGAGTTTAGTAAGAACCATGGGAAGGGCTCACTGTGGGATTTCTGTGGACAGAGCCAGGGCAGAGTGTGAGTCAGTGTTCAGCACTGTGAGGAGAGTGGTTTGGGCAGAAGATAGGCCTGGAACTCACACAAAGAAGGTTGCAGTCTTCCAGGCCCCCAAGAGTTGCCATGATGTAGCCTGGCCCTGGAGTTTGTGCAGGGTGTGGAGAAGCAGTATAGCCTCTCTTTTCAGACAAAGAGCAGAATCTGAAAGCATGGAAACAAGGTGAAGCTGAAGCTTTGTGCACTTTATACTTGTGCCATGCCAGGCATCTTAAACTGACTTGTACCCTGAGGTTTCTTCATACAGCTGCTTTAAATAACCATACTTAAGACTCCCACACTGTCTACTTGGAGTCCAGAAGTGTCACGAAATACTTAGCTTCCTTGATTTCAGATCTTGAAAGATGAATGAACCCACCTGCCCCTGACTGCTCCTGGGGTTGGTGGTAGAATTTCCTAACAGTGGGAGTGGGCATGCCTGGACAGGTGCTTTGGCGGGGTCATAGTCAGGGTGCCTCAGATAATTTCCAATTGCAGATCAAATGTGTGTCAGCTTTATAACTCTTCATTGGGTTTTCTCTCTGTGCTGGAAACTGCCTTTCTTTTTGCCACTTTAGCATGGAGACTTCTGAATCAGTGTTTCTCGGCCTTTTTTCTGTTGCCCCCCTCCAGTGAAATTTTAATACCACAGGTATACTGTGTATCTTTTCTGTACTTGGGGGTAATGTCACCCACATTGGGATTGTGTACTCTTAATAATTCTAGCTCATCCACAGAGATGCCTATCAATGAGAAAAGGGAGTGTAATGTGGGTAAGAACTAGACCCATGTGTGGCTTCCAGGCTCCATATTTGTTTCTTGGTGACTTTAGTGGAATAGCTTAACCTCTCAGAGCCTGTTTTTTGACTGATTAAATGGGAATAACTCTACCAAACTAATAGGGCTGCTGAGGATCTGATGAGTTATTACATGTTCAAGCTTTGCACAGAGCCTCCCCTCTAATGGCTCTCAGTAGTTTCTGTATCTTTCTTCTCCCCTCCCACAGATTGACCTCGCAATTGATGGTGCTGATGAAGTAGATGCTGATCTCAATCTCATCAAGGGTGGTGGGTGAGTGTTGTGGGGACTTTCTTGCTGAGGAGTATCTGCCAGTTAATCCTTAGCAAAGCAAGGTGGAAGACAGAATAAACAAATGGCCACTGTGATGTATGTGAGCTTGTCTTTTTTCTAGGAAGTTGATGGTTGTTAGAGCCAGTTTGGCATTTCTAGTTATGAGTAGCAGTCTGCTAACCAGGAACCTGGGTCTCTTCAGTGAGATTATTCATTTTACTGAGTTCTCTGTATCTGCATTCTTCTGCTGATTCGAATTTTAAAAACTGTATGAATTAAACCAGATATGTTGTTGGGGTAGATTATTAGGTCTGTGGGAATTAGTTTGTGATCTTTGCTTATAGCTGCTCTTAACCTCTGTGAGCAGTTAGTTGTACATTTATTTATTCACTTGGAAAACATTGAGTATTTCTTAAATGTTGATTTGGGGGTAGGGAATGGTGGATTGAAGAAGGCAAAGTCCTGCTCCGCTATTGTAATTAAGCAGACTGCAATGACACAACATGTTTAGAAACATACCGTACACTCTGCTTCATCACCCCAACTGTCAAATAGTAGATAGGAAAGGTTGTTCAAAGCTTGTCCTTCTTAAGTTATAGACCCTTCCATTCATGCCATCCATGCTCAGATGACTTTTCCTTGAGCACAGATATATTTTAGATAGGAGTGTGCCTGGCCTGACTGGGATCCATTTCTCCCAGACATAGGCTCATTTACCAGAAGCAACATGTCTTAGCTCAGGCTGCCTTAACAAAATGCTGTAGTCTGGGTGGCTTCAGCAACAAGTAATTTTTAAGAATTCTGGAGACTTCTGGCTTGAGTTGGCTGCCTTATCATTGTGCCCTCAGGGTGGAGAGAGAGCAAGTGAGCTCTCTGGTGTCTGTTCTGTTAAGGACATTAATCCTATCAGACCAGACTCCTCCACCCCTCCAAACACTTTTAACCATAATTACTTCCTTAAAGTAATGTGCACTTGGGAGTTATGGCTTCAATATATGGAATTGGGAAGGACACAGTTTAGTCCATTGCCCAGCATGATGGAGTTGAGGATCTCCCTTTAAAAATTATAAATTCAATTTCTCATTAAGTAGATTTGGGTTTCCTGTATCTGATCTTAGTTTTCAAATTGAGTTTGTGTCCGACCCTGTATTCGTTTGCCTCTTCCCATCCCCAGAGGCTGTCTGACCCAAGAGAAAATTGTGGCCGGCTATGCCAGTCGCTTCATCGTGATCGCCGACTTCAGGTACAATGTTGAGTGTTCTGAGCTGTCCACTGGGGGCAGGGGTAGATCACACCCCAACCTCATCCCCATTTTATAGAGGAGGATAGAGAAATGGAGGGGCTGTCTGGCTTTCTGAGACTGATGGCTAAGACTGAGGGAGTGTCTTGAAGGGTTTTGTTCCATTTTCATACTGAAGGTAAATATTGCTATGTTTTGTGTCCATTGGAAGGAGGAGGAAATAGCTTGTCACTCTTGTGACAAGAGCATGTCCTCATATATCACTCATTTGATCCTTGTAGGAAGGACAGGCCTTGCCCACGGGCAGTGACTCAGCATGCTCTGCTTCCTCTGGACTCGCACATAACTTGTGTTGTGCAGAGTCTCTGACCAGGCTCTCAGATTCTCCTTCAAGGAGTCTGGTAGATGGTGCTTATGCTGAGCATGTTAATTAAAAAAAAATTATATTGACTTACAAGATATTATTACTGTAGAAAGAACGTAAATAATAAACACCTGGATAGCCACAAGCTAGTCATAACCAGTTTTAACATTTTTAAAAGTCATACTTATTTGAAATACCTCATTTCTTAGCTAGTAAAACAGCCCAAACATTAGCAGCCCGGTGTGTTTCCCTGCTCTCTGCCCACTTACTATGTCTGAATTTGGTGTTTGTCTATACCATTGAGCTTATTTATATTTATTATACTTTCTGACTTTCTTTCCAGGAAAGATTCAAAGAATCTCGGGGATCAGTGGCACAAGGGAATCCCCATTGAGGTCATCCCAATGGCCTATGTTCCCGTGAGCCGAGCTGTGACCCAGAAGTTTGGGGGCGTGATTGAACTTCGGATGGCTATCAACAAGGCAGTAAGTGGTCAGGGAGGTTTCTCAAGGGCATTCTAGCTTCTTGATGTGGTGTCCTCCTTTTTGTTTCAGTTAGGTCCCTCTGTGTATAGCCTGGGTAGTCAGCTTTTATTTATTTTCATTCAGATTATTGGTTTATTTTTATAGAGTACTAGCTTTAGTAGTTCTTATATTCAAACTCGTGTAGATAATATGACACTTAATGCAGTGCATATTTTCTGTACAAGTGAGGAAATTGATTCTTTTTCTTGGTCCCTTGGGGTCTTATGGTCCTCAGGTGATTGAATCTTTGTACCTTGTGGTCTGGACTACCGTGCTTCCCAGTGGCTAAAAATGGCTTTGGGAGGCACCCCAGGGCAGGAAGTTTTCCAGGTTCCATGGTATAATTTTCCTTTTCTCCTCTTACTTCATTCTGCGACAAGAAGTAGAATTTCCTGGGGGATGTGAACTCTTCCTTAGGAATACGCTTTGGAAACTTAGTGCAAATGTTTCTCTTCTACTTCTAAAGTGGGCTGCACAGAACTTTTTTTTCCTCTTACACTTAAATAAACAAGCAAAAGTAATAACCCAAAAGCTAACTGTATTTATAGACATGACTTTATAACAGGTTTAGAAGATACAGAAGAGAAAACAGATTATCTGTGACTTTACCCTGATGCATTTTTATGTTGATTTTTTTTTTCCTGGCGTTTTTCTGATGTTTTAAAAATCAGTCCTAATTCTAGTGGTTATGCAGAGCTCTGGGTCTAGTTCCCTCTGTAGCTGAGAGGTTCGGAGGAGACTGTTGGAGAAGGGGGTTCTCTCTCATGGCTGGGGTGACTCCAGACAGGAACCCAGCATCCTGCCTTCTTGGGGCTCTTCACTGATCTCCCATCCCCTCACCTCCAACCTGCAGGAGCAGCCTAGTTTCCTTGCCTGTGACTATAGTGCTCTGTCCACATTCGTGGTCCCAAATGCCTACTAGTGCCCAAAGCTGTGGAGGAATTTTGGGTTAATTATCTAAAACTACCCTCTGCTCTTTTTTGGAGCCCAGAACATGTCTCTGCTTCCTGTTTTGGTGGGACTGCCTGCGAGGTGAAGTGATGGGTGCAATAGCACTGCCTTATTTTTTACTGGGCACCTAATGTGAAGCAGTGAGAATGTCCACCGTGTGGATAGTCTGCTTCTGTTGTTCTAGTTTTTCATTCTAGTAATAGCCAATTGGCTATTATTAGCCAATTAGTGAACCCGTCCTATGAGCCCTCACTGTGGTAAATGCTTACCCCTATGGTTTATACATAAACTGCTTTCTCAAGTATGTATCATTATCCTCTTTTTGTAGTTGAGGAATCTGAGGCTCACAGAGGTTAATAGCTCCTCTGAGCCTCCTCTATACCTATGTGGCTTCAAGACTCAAATTTTGATGCCAGAGTTCCTGCTCATTACTTCTTCATAGCACTGCCTTCTAGAAAGCAGGAGGTGGGGTACTGGCTGGAGCAGGTTAATTAAGATACTTGTCTGTGGGCATCCCCTTCACTTTCTTGCCCCTCTCTCTCTGCCTACCTGTATTTATAACTTCTGTAAATGTGGAAAATCATACCTTCTAGGGTCCCGTGGTGACGGATAATGGGAATTTTATCCTTGACTGGAAGTTCGATCGGGTGCATAAGTGGAGTGAAGTAAACACAGCTATCAAAATGATCCCAGGTAAATGTGATCCCATGGGATCCCTCGGTGGCGCAGCGGTTTGGCGCCTGCCTTTGGCCCAGGGCGCGATCCTGGAGACCCGGGATCGAATCCCACGTTGGGCTCCTGGTGCATGGAGCCTGCTTCTCTCTCTGCCTATGTCTCTGCCTCTCTCTCTCTCTCTGTGTGTGACTATCATAATAAATGAATGAATGAATGAATGAATGAATGAATAAAATATATATATATGATCCCAGTAGTGTTCATTGAGAATAGACACCCAAGCACTTTGTAACTGTCCCCGGCCATAGGAGGCACAGTGGGTGTGGGTTTTGTAAGACTTGGTTGGAAAGAAGAATTTCCTTTGTGCTATGCTTGGAGTTTCTGACTTCATGCCTTTGATTCCTCCCCACCCCCCCAATAGTTATTACTTACCTAGCAGCTTGTTGGTTGTGCATTTACAACCCATTTTAGTTGGGAGAGGCCTAGAGCTGATGGAGTATCAGAGGGGATTTGCCTTAAAATAAGCTCACCCTCTCTGCATAGAGCCTTCCCTTCCAGAAGCTTAACTATAGCCTCTTTCATTTCAAGAAGTAGGCTGTCTTCTTGAGCAGTGGGGAATAATGACTCTGTTCACCCACACTCATTAGATATGTACCACAGGCCGGGTGCTGTGCCACATGTTACAGGGAATGCTCCATCTATAGAACTTGGAATCTGACTCAAGGAGAGTTCACATATACCTAGGGAGAGTGTGCATGGCTATGTAGAAGCCATGCCTACAAATAAGATGGAATGCTAAATTTGCTAGAGAAATACCAAGAGTCTAGAGTGCACATAGGTTGCTTCCTTTGGAGAGTGTGTGAGAAAGTTAAGGAAGAGAGGTGGCTTTTGATCTATGCTTTGGCATAGTGTAATCTAGACATTGCATTAAGTGTTTAAAAATGTCTTATTTGATTGTCCAGTTGGATGAGATAGTTATAAAGGAGAACATGGATCATGGAAGATTACATGACTTGCCCAAGGGCTACAGTGCCAAGAGGGAGTCCTTAATTCCTTGAGTTGAGGAGGGGTGGTATGGCATGAACATTTGGGTTGGGAGAGCCTCTAATGCTAATAGTAGGGTCTGGGGCCGTGGGTGAGGCTGGGTGGGCAGTGTAGAGGTGAGTCAGGCATCCAGGCCAGAGGAGGTATCAAAGGTCCATGCAAGGGGATTGGATGGAGGGAGCAGATGTGAGAGACATTAGCCTTAAGATTTTGAGAGACTAAGACTCTGACTGGGAATAGTCCATGGCATAGAATATTCTTGGGCCAGAACAAGCTAATGGGGCAGGTAAGATCAGTTTAGCAGATTGTAATGGCTAATAGTAGATTCAAGAGCAGACTGCCTGATGGGGTTCCTAACCCAGCCTCACTCTGCCAGTGTGAATTTTGTGCAGTTAGTTGATGTCTTTGTGACTCAGTTTCTTCCTCTGTGAAAGAAGCTAATACAAGTGGCTACTTCATAGGATATTTGGATTAAATGAGTTAAAATGATGCCTAGCACATAAAGGAGTGTTTGTTGAATGAACACATCCCTAGGAAGAAAGGATAGTATTGTTAAATATGCTAGATTCTTTTTTTTTTTAATATGCTAGATTCTAAGTAATCCATGCTATTTAGGAATGAAAATGATGTGACTATATGCCATGTAATAAGCTAATTCTTCCAACCTTACTGTAAATTTAGTCTGCTCTTTTCCTTTGACTGACAGTCTTGGAGCAGATTTATTAAGCAAAAAAGAAGAGTTGTATTAGGCTTTTTCTCTCAGTACTCTCATTTAATAGAAGAAGTAATGAGCCAAGAGGGCAAGAGGAAGAGAAGATGTAGAGGTCACCATAAGCAGATGGAAACATTTGCCCCTAACGATAATGCAGATAGACCAGGGGATTGCATAGGAGCAGCTCACCAGTGGGGGCTTGATTTCTCTGGAGGTGGATTTCTTGCAGTGCCCACTAGGTAGCTCTGTTGCTCCTGCTCAAATCAGAACCTTTCTTGGCTTATTGAGACATTGAGCTGTCCTTCATGAGGAAGTTTCTCCCGTATTTGCCCTCTGCCTCAGTCAGTAGAAGTAACCTACTTACTGAGAAGTTACTTATTTTTACTCAATTAAGTACAAGCCTAGAGAAGTTCAGAATCTTAGTAGGAACTTCAACTGAAGAAAAAGAGAGGCTAGATGTTAAATCCTGCCACCAGAAGCATTGGTGTGATTTGTTGTTTCTCCTGTTCTCTCTCTTCTTTCTCTGGTCTGTTTTGATACTGCTGGACCAAAATGCAGGGAAGGGGAGCAGGGCAAGTTTCCCTGTCTGCCCCTGTCACCCTGCCCTTGCCCTGTGTACATTTGTGTGTCTGAAGACACTTACAGGACAGCTGTACTGGTGCCTGCCTAGTGACTTCCTCCCTTGGATATGCCACTGGGTTCCACCCAGAGCACAGAGGCTCTGTAGAAGGGCCAAAGCTCGTGGGTTCTTGGCCCCTTGCTCACAGTAAGCCACCTCTGTCTGCCCTTTCCACTACTGGGTGGGTCAGTAACCTGAAGATGGGGTGCCCTAAGATCAGACTTGGCTCCTGCCATTCATCTCTGCTCTTTCTCTGAAGCCTTTTCTGAATCTGGTTTGACTTTCTTTTGGATCAGGGGGAAGCTGTCACCTTGCATTAACAGAATTGTTGAAAAGGATGGGTCTTGTGTGTCCCCTGTGTGAAGTCTTTGGGAGACTTCAGTTGGTGCGGTGGTGTGCCAGAGCCGTATGTTTCTCAGCAGCTCCTTTCTCTGCTTCATGACTCTTTCTCACTGATAGGTATTTTTTTTTATGTATTGGGAACCTTCTTGCTAAGTTTCAGTTTTAAAATCTTTTTTAGTTGATGTTCTTCAAGATTATAAGAGTAAATGGTGAAAAGTCTCTTCCTTCTTTCCCTCCATTTTTTTCCCTGTTAGATGGTGCTAAACTTGCCCTGCATGGATTGCACCAATTTACCCCTTTACTAGCAATTTTTCCTATACACTTGTCCATCAAACTTGTTTTCCTGATAGTTCGAACACCATTTTATTGGACATTTTACATGGCCTCTTTTGTAAAGTACCTCTTTAAGTCTTTGGCCCATTTTTCTACGAGGTGGTCTGTCTTATTGATTTGGAGAAATTATTTATATATTTTGATGCGAGTCTTTCTTTGGATATATGCATTGCAAATATCTTCTAGCACTTTGTGGGAAAACCTCTAAGGCTGATAGTGTGATTGAAGATAACTGGGTGTGCAAATAGCCAAAGCAATCTTGAGAAAGAAGAGCAAGGCTGGAGGTATCACAATCCCAGATTTCAAAATATACAACAAAGCTGTAATAATTGAAACAGGATGGTACTGCCACAAAAATAGACACATTAATTAATGGAACAGAATAGAAAGTCTAGAAATAAGCCCATGCATCTATGGTTGATTAACCTATAACAAAGAAAGCAAGAATATACAGTGGGGAAAAGACAGTCGTCAACAAATGACATTGGGACAACTGGACAGCTACATGCAAAAGAATGAAACTGGACCACTTTCTTACAGCTCTCAAAAATAAACTCAACGTGGGTTAAATATGACACTAAAGCCATGAAACTCCTAAAAACATAGGCAGTAATCTCTTGGACATTGGCTTTAGCAACATTTTTTTCTGGATCTTTCTCTCCAGGCAAGGAAAAGAAAAGCAAGAATAAACTACTGGGACTACATCAAACTGAAAAGCTTTTTGCACAGCAAAGGAAGCCATCAACAAAATGAAAAGGGAGCCTACTAAATGGGAGAACATATTTGCAAGTGATATATCCAATAAGGAGTTAAAATCCAAAATATATAAAGAACTCTTACAACTCAATACAAAAAACTAATAATCCAAATAAAACTGGGCAGAGGACCTCAATAGACATTTTTCCAGAGAAGACATACAGATGGCTAACAATCACATCAAGAGATGTTCAGTATTGCTAATCACCAGGGAAATCCAAATTAAAACCACAGAGAGATATCACCTTACAACTGTCAGAATGGCTAGAATCAAAACTAAGAAATAACAAATGTTTAAAAAAACAAAACTAACAACCCCAAAATCAAATGTTGGTGAGGATGTGGAGAAAAGGGAACCCTCATTCTCTGTTGATGGGAATGTAGGTTGGTGTAACTACTATGGAAAACCATATGGAGGTTCCTCAAAAGATTAAAAATACAAGTATTAGATGGTCTAACAGTTCTGCTGGATATTTACCCAAAGGAAATGAAAACAATAATTTGGAAAGATACATGCATCTGTGTTTGTTGCAGCATTATTTACAATAGTCAAGATAGGGGAGCAACAGAAGTGTCTGTTGACAGATGAATGGATAAAGATTTGGTATGTATGTGCAATGGAATATTATTCAGCCATAAAAAAGAATGAGATCAAACCATTTCCAACAATGTGGATGGACCTAGAGGGTGTTATACTAAGTGAAGTAAGTCATAGAAAAATACCATATAATTTCACTTACATGTGGGATCTATAAAATAAGACAAGTTTGAAAAAAACAACAAAAACAGAAACAAACTGGTTTTCATAGAGGAGGAGCAGAAGGATAGACAAAATAGGTAGAGGGGATTAAGAAGTCTAAACTTAGAGTTATAAAATAAGTAAGTCCCGGAGATGTAAAGCACAGTATGGGAAATAGAGTCAATGATATTGTAATAACTTTATATGGTGACAGCTGGAAACTACATTTACCACTGTGAACAACATGTAAGGTACAGAATTGTTGAATCACTTTATACCTGAAACATACTCTAGCCATATATGTCAACTTCAATTTAAAGAAAAAAGGAAAATAAATGGGAGCAGGGGTTACTTAGAGTAGTCATAGAGGACCTCTCTGAAGAGAGGACTTATCATCTGATAGCCGAAGGACAGAGAAGAACCATCCCCTTGAAGTGCTCAAAGATGAATAGTCCAGCAAACAGAATAACATGAGCAAAGGCTCTGAGGCAGGAAAAAAGTTGGCATGTTTGGATAGCATAGAAAGCCAAGATGGCAGGGGAGAAAGGGATTGTAAGAAGAATTAAAAATAATCAGAATCTTTTTCATTGTTCTGAGAGAGGAAAGACTTCAGAGCTGTCATTTGTCCAGTGCTGCTCAGAGTATTGCTCTTACTGACTGTATGGTCCTTGACTCTCTTCTTGCTTTGAGAAACTGAAACCTAAGGCTTTTTTTCATCTTTCATCCTGCAGGCGTGGTGGACACAGGCCTTTTCATTAACATGGCTGAGAGAGTCTACTTTGGGATGCAGGATGGCTCTGTGAACATGAGGGAGAAGCCTTTCTACTGACCCTGCAAGAGTGGAGCGTGTTCACCTTGAACCCCCAGCGTGCAGCTGAGGTAGACATGCCTCTCCAGGAGCCTTTGCCTTAATGCATCTGTGCCAGACAGACGGCTGGCGGGGCGGGGTGGGGGGGTTAACTCCAGTCTTCTGAAGTATTGTTATTTAATGTCTTTTTAAAAAGAGAAATATAAACATATATATTTTTACTATTAAAAATACTCAGTTTTTTTAATTAAAGTAGAACTTGATTTCATGTTTTATATATGAAACATTTACCAAAAAAAAAAAAAAAAAACCGCAAACAGGAAGAGGACTGTCTTTTAAACTTTTAACTTGAGTCTGCTGGTTAAGCTTCTGAATATTGGGTGTGCTGAGAAATGTAAATCAAAACTTTTCTTTAAGAAAACTGGTAAAATGAAGGGCCCAGCCAGCAGTGATTCCCTGATGCCTTACTGGAAACATTAGAGTTTACTTTTCTACCACATTGTTTTGTCCTTAGTTTTTGTTGTGATCACGCACAATCCTTGGGTCCCTGTTTTAAGATGAGGTTTACAAGAGTCTGGCAAGTGGAGCAGTGTGGTGTATAGTGACTCAGAGTGTAAACTGTCAGGGAGAAACTGTGGTTCTTTTGCTAAGATCCGGGGGTTCTTTCAGACCCCTGTCGTGGGAAGCAATTGGCCAGAAATACTTGCCAGTACTGCCAAAGCACTGCTGTGAAATGTGAAATACTTTTAAATCATTGTCTTTTTTGTTGTTAATATTTTTTCTGTTCCTTTATTATTACTTGCATGGTTCACCATCAGAAGTCATCTCCATACATTGTTTGAAAGTTGAAATAAAACAGTATGGTGCCGTTTTGACTCTTTGTCTTTACTGTTTGCAGAAGTTTTGCAGTAAAATAGGGATCAACTTTTCACCAGTTTACATTGGATCTTTGAGAAGAGGCAGAGGTTACTTGAGAAATCTTGAACCAAAGACTAAATAAATATTTCCTTTATTTCTGAGCGAGCTTGACATCAGTTTTATTCCATAGGCCTTTGTCAAACAAGACATTGTTTTCTTTGTTAATGGAAGATAACTCAGCTGAACAGAAGTCACCAATTATTCCCAAGTGTCATATTATTAGTCAGACCCTCAGTCCCAGAAGCTGGCGAGCATGAAACAAACAGGTTCCTTGTATTCCCTCCTTAATCTCTCACTGATCTTCAGATCGTGTGCCCTAGGGGGCAGTGCACTGTCCAGAAAGCCTCAGAGATGGGGAGAGGGAAGGCCGCCATCAGTTGGGTGGTAATTCTGGATGGGACTGAGGAGCCCAGCCTGCCAGGTGTTTGTGCTGAGGGCCCTCATTGCCCCTGTGCCGGCCTGCACTATACTCAGGACAGTCCTTTCCCTCGGGGTGCCCTCCATTGGGAGCCTTGGATTGTAACTACCCAGCGTGCTGGCGTCTCAGTCCCTACTAATCCAGGTGGCTGAATGAAAGTTAACAGAATTGGGTTTAGAGGCTCTCTTTTTCTTACCAAGTTCTTTGTCTTTCTCTTCACTCTCAAGTGCTTTTTAAAAATGATTGCCTCATACTTTGTTAGGAAGCCTGTTGTTAGGAGAGCTCTAGTTTTCAAGCCTCTTCTAGTCTAGATAAGTTTTGCACAAAATGGGCACAAGATCTTAGCCAAGAAAACTTGATAGAACTAATGTTTGAAATCCTTTAAAGCTCTTGTAGCATGGGTTAAGTTCAGGGATAAAGAACAAAGTTAAACTGGGTTTCTGAAAAACACCTGCATGCTCCACATCACATGGGCATTTTCAGTGGGTTTCAGGGGTGTTTGCACCTGTGACCAAAATGCAATCCCTGTGAGCATTGGTGTGAGGTTTTCCTTCTCTTGAAAAAAACACAAAACCCCAGCTATGCTTGAAGCACACATATAGAAGTTTGTTCTAAAAGTGTATTTTGATCGAATATTCTTCAATAAAATGGTTGTTAAATGCAATCTTGCAGTGATAAACTGGATGGAAAAAATTTGCAGGCACATGATGAATCAGAGGGGCATAGGGCAGGCTGCAGGTCTGGCTTTTGGGAAAGGTTATAACCCAGTTAAACAGCCACGCTTCTGGGAGGCATCAAAAGGGAAAATCACTTGCATTTGAATAAGATCTGTTCCATTTTGGTTTCAGCTAGAGCTCAAAAAATTTTGATTCATTTATCAATCTTTTCCTCCGTTGCCATCACATGCTAATTCCTAGTGGGCACTAGTGGGAGAGAGAGGACAGAGACCAGAACACCCCTTTTATGCTCTGGATGGTGGATGAGACAGGAAGGCTGAGGAATGCTGTGATGGAGCAGTGATGTGAAGGAATCGTCAGCATAGTCGGAAAGAGGTGGGAAAGGGGTTCTCAGGTGACTGGCACTGGCGACAGTTCCATACCTGCCATCATTCTGGGCCTTTGCCCTTAGGTCTTACAGCAACTTCCTGGTGGTGGTTCTCTTCAGTTGCAGGGTAAGAAACCGGAGTTCAGTTTAAGTAACTTGTTCAGGTTGTACTGAACCTGTACTTGGAAGCAGGCCAGACTTAACTGGCTGCAGGCCTTACTCCAAATTCAAGAGGGTTGTAGGACTCCGGTTGTTTGCACTCCTTAATTCTTATGTCCATTATTTGCAACTTGAGCCATGAGTAACTTGTTAAACAGTTACCGAAGTTAATGAAATGGTCTCTGTGTGTGTGCACACATGTCTGTAGGCTGATAGGTAATCCTATAAGATTAATTTCTAGTTTCTAATTTCTAGTTTCTGGCAGAACAGAGTAGAACATTGTACCAGCCTAGGGTGAGCCATGGGAAAGTGCACTTTGGAGAAGTCATCCTTCTCTGCCACCACTGATGGCTTCTCCCCTATGCTTGTTTCTCCTTTTCTCCCTGAGGCATGTCTCTCTTGGGAAAGGGTGTTGATGGTTAAGGACTGAGTTCCCTTTAGCTAAGATTCTTCAGGAATGTGTAGTTGAACAGAGTTGGTTTTATTGACTCATTGAAGGAGGGAAGTCACATGCCATGTGGGGCTGTGGGGTGTCTCAACCAGAGCATATTAGGGCTTAGAGGATTTGGGCTTGTGTCTGGTGCTTTGGAGGAGGGCTCAGGGAAGCAGGGCTCTGCTCTGGATTGGATTGGATTGGAAGCAGGAAAATTCTGTGATCAGGTGTTTTAAATTTTTACCAAGAAGGCAAGAAGAATGGAGTGAGGCTAAATCTGGGATTGAAAAAGAAGCAGCAGTCACTCAGCCAGAATATGGTGATGTCTGGTCCTTTTTATGATTTGGACACTTAAGATTTTGTCTATGTTGAGATGTAATTATGGAGTCCTCTAGTTTTTGTCTTCACCCACCACATCACAGAGTGGCCATGTCTGATGGAGTTGTGTGAAATTGTTAGTGTTCCACAGGAGAACACCTCAGCCTCGCTGTGGGTGCCAGGCCAGTACATAGCAACACCAAGACCTGACTGTAGCTAGTACAGGGCTGCGTTTCTCTTTCTCAGGATCTGCTCACCCCGGACCCAGGAGGCCCACATGTTCTTTTTTTTTTCTTTAAAGATTTTATTTGTTTATTAGAGAGCACGGTGAGGAGGGGTAGAGGGAGAGGGAAAAGCAGGCTCCCCACTGAGCAAGAAGCCCAACAAGGGCTCAATTCCAGGGCCCCAGGATCATGAGCTGAAGGCAGACACTTAGCCGACTGAGCCACCCAGGCGCCCCAGGCCTGCACATTCTATACAATCAACTCTTCTCTTTTTTGATCAACAATATTGAGCACTTGCTGGGCATTGGACACTGGGACAGAGGAGTCAGGCCACAGATATCCATAACGCAGCTCCAGCCTTCAAAGACTTCATTGATGCCATGACAACCACTTCTCATAACTCTTCAAATGCCTGTGTTTGCTCGCTTCCTGTCACACCTACTTAGCCGCTGAGACAGCCCGATTTAGGATAGTGTCAGCCTTCACTCTCCACTAACCCGCTAATCAGATGATGTTTTTGAATAGGTTCAGTGCCTTTGCTTTTTTAGTAACCAGTTTGTATCGCAGGACAGCAAAACACTCCAATATAGCCTAGCATTCAAATGTGCCCAGGTTGACTCTGCAAGTAAACATCTCTAATGGTGCTTTGAGAAGGTGGAAGTGTGTGTTAACATGGGTAGTGGATGGGGGTGCAATCCAGAGAGGGAGGGAAGGGCCTTCCCTGGAAGGGCAACTCTCATGTTCTGTGGACAACACCTAATGCAGACTGACGAATGAAATAGTCAGCATTGAAACCCATTCCTGTGTCGGATCACTGAGGAGCATCTCAGCAGCAAGATGGGAGAGGAAGCAGCTCCATGTCTGGGAACCAGAGCCCTGGCTGCATGTCCGTCGGCTTTAGCCCAGTGGCAGGGAGACTCGTGAATGTCTCCCTGGGTGACAGAACCACATTTGAGGGAGATCCAAGGTTCAGGTGTGTCCCAGTCTGAGTTTCAAATAGGAGAGTTGTGCTCATCCTCATTTTATGTCAGAAGCTGTTCTTAGTGCCGGCTGGACCAGTCTCCAGTCACGGATGACTTTTGAAGGTTCTAGAGCTCTGATCTGATTTTCACTGCCCTTGGCCCATGTTCCTCTGTGCTCGTGGTGCTGCTCCCCGTTTTTTTGTGAATCTGTGGCAGGTGTTCACAAGGTGAGAGCCTGCAGGGCACTGGCATCCAGTGCAGCATAGGTATGATCAGAACAGCACTGCCCAACAGAAATGTGAGCCACATATGGAATTTTAAGTGTTCACGTAGCCACATTAAAAAGGTACAAAGACACAGGTGAAATTAATTCCAGTAAAATATTTAATCCAACATATCTAAAATATTACTATTTTAACATGTAATCAATGTTTGACATTTTGTACTAAATCTTCAAAATATAGTATGTGTTTTACTTGAGCACATGTCGTCTTGGACTCGTCACTTTTCATGTGTTCAATAGCCACACTAGTGAATGACTTGACTATTGGTGAACTATTGAGTTCTGCTTCTAGAACTCAAGGCAACTCTGGTGATGTCCTTGTTCTGGATTTTTGAAGGATCCTTTGATTTCTCGGAGCAAGCCTGAGCATCTCCAGTGGCCTTGGATGTTCCTTAGGGCCCACAGCATTGAGTCAAAGGGAGGGCTTCCCAGGATGTCCACTCAATAGCCCCAGTTTGAACTCAGACCATCTATACTTCATCTATGCTTCTTGACCTTGTAAGTGACCTTAACTCCAGGAAAGAGAACACCATTCTTTCAGCTTCTAAGTTAAATGATTATTTTAGTTGTGCTATACTACTTTTTCTGAGAGGTAGGTGTGGTTAAGATACTAACCAACCTTGGTTGAGAATTCCAATCTTCCACTGACTAGCTTTTGGAGAAGTTATTTTATCTCTCAGTCTTGGTTTCCTCAGAGTCAAATGGGTATAATAATATTACCTCTTAGGGTTGTTTCAAGAGTTAAAAGAGGTAATTCATGCTTCAAACAGGGGGAGACCTGTAAAAACACTTATTAGATGCCAAATTGCTGTTAAACTGCTATGGACTTATATTTGCTAGGTTCCTTCCTTTTTTTCTTTTTTTTTGTATATTTTTTATTGGAGTTCAATTTACTAACATGTAGCATAACACCCAGTGCTCATCCTGTCAAGTGCCCCCCTCAGTGCTTGTCACCCAGTCACCCAACCCCGCCCCCCCCCCCTCCCTTTGCACCACCCCTTGTTCATTTCCCAGTTAGGAGTCTCTCATGTCCTGTCATCCTCACTGATATTTCCCACTCATTTTCTCTCCTTTCCCCTTTATTCCCTTTCACTATTTTTTATATTTCCCAAATGC